GTGTAGCCTTTACGTCTTAAAATCTCATTGTAGATGCCACTTTAAGTAAATATTACTGTATCAATCATTAAAAGTAAACTGAAGTTAACTTCATAAATCATTAAAATTATCACAACTCAAATGAAACGGTTTTAGGCAATTTGTTTTAAAAAATTATCACAACTCAAAAAGAAAGGGTTTGTATTATAAAATGAAAATGACAAGAATGTAATTTGATCATGTTACCAATATTATTTGGTAACCTTTTTTTAATATTATTTGATTAGCAAATAATTTTCTGTTAATTTGAAAAATAGTTTTTCCCTTTTCTAAAAAATTAAATTTTTTATAAAACCATTATGTTATGTATTAATTTTTTCTAGGTTATTCAGAATTATTCTAGACTCACAAAATTGACTAATTTCTAAATTAAAAAATTATTTTTTGCTCATATACATTAACTTATGTTAAATAAATTTTAAATTTTAATAAATCATCAGTCATAAAAATGCATTGTTACTAATAAAACTTTCTTCCTACTGTATTACACGTAGATCAAATTGGGCTCGAGCAGCTTTAGCGTAGTCAATTCCAACAGCCTATGAGAGTTATAATCAAATGAAATCATTGATGAAAGAAGATATTACACATTTCCGTCAAATAAATTTGCATTTATTGTGCTACTATCGACAGCGATTGTCCTTACAAAAATTCACTTTAATACTGTTCATTTTAATACTGAAAGCTAGTGATTAATTACTTATTTTGAGTATTATTGCTGTTCAGTAGATACTTTTAATATTCAAAATAAGTAATTAATTTGTACTATCCGGTATTAAATTTTCATAAGAGTGTCTTATGTGGATTGATCCTTGCGAATTGGTGCTCGCCAACGAAGAAATCGCGCGCGATGGCCAGCTCTAAAAGCGACGCACGTGATGCACTGCGTTTCGCTCTGATTCCGACCGCGTGAAAGATCCCAGTATGATTTCGCCTAGTCGTCGTCTTAGCATCGGCGAAAACCACACAGTCGCCATCGATTTGTTATTCTGGCGACACGCGGGACGAAAGTGAATCGATCGGGACTAAAGCCTGTTCAGACCGAACAATTTTCAAATCGCGTGAAAAAACCATTCAAATTTGACTATAAAATTCTCGATCTCTTTTACATTTGGTCATCATCCATTGCTTTTTTATTTAAATAATTCTGTTGTCGTATAAAAAAATCAATTTTGCGATATCGATTGTCGACTTTTCTTATTCCTTCCGTAAAAAAAAATTTGTATCAATAAATAAGAATACGTAAGTAATTCTTGTTCATTTCTACCAATGCAGATTAACTTTAATTTTAGTTTACTTATTTTTTATCTTCTTTTAATTACAAGAATTAGCAAAAAAAATAGAAAGTAAATTAAACCGAGATTAAAATTAATCTACATCGATAAATTAATCTATCATGTCGCGTTATGACCGAAAGACAACACTTCGCGGAACCTCTTCGCAAAAATAAAATAATTTTTGTATCGAGCGCAACACATTCCTTCTAAATCGCCCTTTAAATTTCATGTTGGCGTACCGCCTCTACGCGTCGCACGTACGTCTTCCGATGACGTGCTGAACTTGTTAATGAAACGCAATCGCCGTGTCGTGGCGAACGTAGAAGGAGAAAAGAGATCCCGAAACACAGATCGCGCGCAAGAGAATCGCCTCGAGCTGGTTTCACTGCCAAGGTGGATCTACTTGCGGCGCGTAGACTTTAATGCTAGGAAGGCGATGTCGAATCGAAATGCTTTCTCCGTTAGTACAGAATTTTCAATAACCGATCTTTCAGAGCATTTTTCAACTATAATATAGTAAATTACGAATAGTGAACGAAAAGTGAAAAGAAAATCTATGATTTCTATTTTTATTTTATATTTTATATCGAAGATGTATCTCAAATATTATAACATAAAATTACGAATTTATTAGTTTACATAGCAAATTCATTTTTTTTAAATAAAATATGTAACCTACATAATAACCTACATAAATAAAATTATTACATGTTGAAGATATGACTTGTAAATAGATTTATCAGAAGTATGACTATATCAATGTCATACCTCGACATACCGAGATAATGTATGATTTTGAATAATAAGTGATAACCTGCAGTTTTAAATTGCAGAAAACATTGTAATTTCCATAATTATACGATTGCTGAGATATCTACCAGAACTGAGAATGTAGAAACGGACAATTATATGAAAAGCAAAAGAAGATGCAAAAAATTCGCAAACATATCTTTCGCAAATCTTTCATCTCGTGTTGCTTCTTTAACTTCCAAGTGAAACTTCCTTTTCGCGATTTAAAAAATTTTCGAAGAGTTGGAAAAACAAGTAATAAAATATACGTATAAGAGACGAATAAAACAGATTAGAATAAATTTCTGTACAATACTTGAATTTCGGATCTACCTCTGAGAATTCTAATGTCCGAGGCGAATCGAACAATTGCGTGGTATCGATGATGGATCCAAATGTCCTCGCAATAGTGATTTCGAATGCAATTGGTACCGTGATTTAATATATCCTTGTTGTGATTAAGGTCTTTGAAACTGTAAAAGTGATGATGGTTCGCAGCATATTGATTCCGTGTTATGCATGACATACGTTATCGTGCATTGTTTATAGTGTTTATTAGCGCGTGTTAACGATCGCATATAATATCTGATTAGAGGCGAGCGGCTTAAGAAGTATTGTTCAAGGCGTTACGTGTGGACATTGAAATTATATAATCATATAAGAAGGTTATTTGTGAGAAGCTGTGGGAAAATGTTATACTAAACTATTTTTTGCTAAATTACAAGACTGAAGATCGGATTATATCGAGATATTTAGAATATTGTTTAAAATTTATATCGCAAGCTTTCACGTTTTTTGTCTTTTATTGCCTTTTATATATTATAAAGGCGTTACCTAATTACAACAATAATTATATAATAATTATATGATGATTATATGGAATTATATAATAATAGATGATTATATAGAATTATATAATAATAAATGTATATAATATAGAGCGCGGTAAATGCTTATTGAGATCAGGCGATATCAACGTGTAGATCTGAATTTTAATGTAAAGTATAATTATCTTTAATATAATAAAAGTATTTAATTTTAACGGTTATTTATACATGTACATTGGATTAACTAAATTTCCGTGATGGAATGTGTGAGAAAATAAGAGTCGACTTTTCGGAGCACGGAATCTGAAAATGAAATCGAGGATAAAGTTCTTCAGACCGCGACAAATAAAGTATGTAATCGACCGATTTTACTAGCCACGAAGAAGATATCTTCGGTTTTCGACGCGCGAAAGCGAGAAACACAGGCATTTATTCGAAATCGTGAAGAAAATGTTGCTTACAGTATGAATTGTAATCTAATTCGAAAGTGTCTTGAGCAAAGAACGAGAGCGCGGAAAAAAATTTGTAGAGATGAGCGATAAATTCAACTGACCAAATTGTGAGTGATTGAGCGGCTGATCTTGGGAGACTCAATTTTTGAAAGTTGTTTTCTAAAAGATTTCAGGCCACTAGTGTTGTCGATTAGCAATCGACAAATAACACCTAACAGTTTTCGTTAACAAGACAATTGCTTGATAGATAAAAAGTGTTGTTGCTGCTTTTTGTGTTTATGACATGCGTTATTTGAGTAACAGGTCAAAAGATAGAGATAACGATTGCTGATTTAAAATTTATTAACATTGTACAAAGAATGGATAATTATAAAATTAATTTAAAGTGATTTCAAGTAATATTAAAAAATTAAGAAAATTTTGTCGCAAATTGAATTTCTAGCTTAATTCATCGTTTAAACTAATCTTTATTTTAACAATGTGATTTAATTTGAAGCTTTACCATATAATAAAACAATAAATTTCAAAGTTACAAAACTAAAGGTTCTTTTATCAAATCACAAACGCAAATTTCTCAGATATCTTGACATATACATAATTAAAGTAAACAAGCTAATCTTAAAGATTGTAGCTCCGACTTGACGAATGTCCTAATACAATTGTCGTCGTCAAATGGAAAAGAAAAGATTTTCAGGGACTCTACGCGCTCGAACGAAGAACAGCACATCCTGCGTTACATAATACATTAATCTCCATCGCGAGTCCCTGTAATCGCTCAATTACGTAAGTAATTTTCGTCGAGGCGATCAATCGACGACGCATCAAATTTCTGTCATTACATATCTACGACCGATGCATACCCAAGTGGCTCGAGTGACGGCGAGTCGCATTGTCAATTTACAGCCGCGTTTAGAAATGAGTATCGATCGTTCTATCATCTAGCTTTCTATTTTAAGACGCTTCACTTCGATCGGCTATCAGAAACTATATCGAGAGCGCCAATTAGAATGCAAATAACTGCTCGTAACTTGCAGGCGATAACAAGCGTTGTCAAGATCGCGATTAAAACTTTAGAAGCTTAATAAAAAAAGGTAAGAAGAAAGTAAGAAAGTAATTAAAAACAAAGGTAAGAAGAGAAATGAAATTTAAATATAAACATTAATTTATACCTAAATTCAATTTATACCCAAATGTAAAAATTAATCCTAAGAAACTGATGAAAATTATTTTTAAAAATGTTTTAAGTAAAGAAAGAGCGCACTAACATCAATAATAACGTAAAAGCAATTGGATAAAAGTTTTATGATTTAAAAAATATAGATAATCATAATACCCACTACTTCATATGCTTTTGAAATAGTTAATTAGTCTATTTGTTATATCAAGTGTCGAAAAGTAAGATAGTACAATACCGCTTAATTGATATCTCGCTGTTTCCTACGTTTTAATCACTTTAAGTAATTAATTATTTTCACGTAATTTTAATAAAAAAAACTGCTCATATGTCTGCTCATATTATTTTTCGGTAACCAAAGTGTCGAATAGCGGTTCGAGGAACTCCCGACGACTAATCTAAACGATTGGCAGATTGAAAATCGTTGGTAGATCGTACTTACCGCGACAGGCGATGCCGAGGGTGAGTAACAAGGTGATCCTGATGATCGTCATTTTGGAGAACGACCGAGAACGTTATCCGCGATAACGGCGGCACATTTATCGCTGTAATTACGGTGCGACGAGTTGTCGACGGCGACGACGAGACGGAAGTGTCGACCGTCGCGGCGTCGTACGCCGTACGTCGTAGCGCGCACGTGTACTACCGCCGAGACGTTGGCTCGCGTGCGATTTGTACTGGTGACGGCGCGACGACAGCGCATGCAAGGGTGTCCCCCTCTTCACGAGATATACGAGCGTTTTCTAGCTGCTGTGTCCGCCTTCCGCACTCACTTGGATCTCTATCCGGTTCGCTACTTGAAGAACCATCAGGTGCTCGACTTCGCCGATCGGGCGGTTCGCGATCACGCTCCCGTTCTCCGACGATCGATCGCCGATCTCGCGGGATGAAATCACTGACGCAAAGAACCTTCGTTTCCTTCGATGGCTCAAATGATCGGCTGCATTGAATGGATAATATTAAGGTTCGTCTGGTTTTTTTTTGTATAATATATGTTATTATACACTATTGAGTATATATACACCGAGAAAAAATGTACTAAATTTTGATAAATATTTTTTTGAATAGTACTAGCTGAATACTAAATGTAAACATATATTTTTTATTTGGTACAAAAATCATTAATTTAATTTATCCGTTATTTTTTTATTCAATAAATGTGTATATGCCGTAAGTAAATGTTAATTAAGTTAATATTATTCAAACAAATATTTATTAAAATTTGGTATATTTTATCTTAAAGTGTGCAGTATTTCATGCACGCAAAGTATTTTGAAAAATTTTAATGCTATAGATTCTCCAACAATATACAAAGTAAACTTTATCTTGCAATTAGAAAGAAGTTTGAATGGACTATTATACGTTAATACTTAATATTAAGATAATATTTTAGCTGCATAATGTTGCTAAAAATATTAGCCAATTTCAGCAAAAAAATTTGTGAATATGAAATCAACTGCAAAAACAAAACAAATAATTTGATTTATAATAACTTATACAAGGCAATAATCATATTTTGCTTTAGATTTGTATGTTTTATAAAAAGAGAAGATAAGAATATTATTTTTGTTTTATTTTTTCGTTATCTCTTACGTGTGTTGTGTGCAGCTTTGTGTGGAATTTTATTCCATCCATTTGTACAATGTTTATGCACATAAACTTTATACGTGAATTTTCTACCAAATGCCTATTCTATGATAACACTTTAAAATTGTTCCGTCGAAATAGACTTTACTCGCGTGATGGCAGTGATTTATGGAGCGATCGATGAAAAGAGGGTCAGTGCTGCACAATGAGTACTCTAATCCTTTGTGCGCGAAATAAGATTAATTATCCTAAACCCCTTTACTTTGCTCTTTCAAGTGTGTCTTTACCTTATCGCGGAAAAAAGTCGGAATCTTTTTTAGTTATCATGTATCGCGATAAGTCTTGATGGATTTTGTTTTGTTTTTTCGTATAATACTTTAATATCTTATACTATAATATCTTATATATAAGAAAGGAAATATTTAAATATTATAATAAAATTTATAAATCTTAATATTAAAAAATTGAATTGTAACCAAAATCACAAATATTATTTACCCTTAAGGTTCCTCATCACTTATAGTACTTATACTATCTTAAATTATGAGAAAAGAACGTGAGAGAAGAAAGAATATATATAATAAAAATTTTTTCATAAAGTATAACAATAAAAATATTTTTTAATAAGACAATATTTGTAATTAGTTGAACAAATTTATAATAAAATATATTGAAAATTCTCTTTTTATTTTGGAGGGGAATTAAATTATATTTATTTCTATGTATTTTATTGATTTGATAATTGTCATAGTTCTGAATATTTTATACACAGATTTTTTTTTCGGCACACAATTTAATTCTAGATATGATTATTTAAAAAATAAAATATTTATTAACAAAATGAGAGAGAAAGGAGAACCGGGATATTTTACAAATTTGTTCCATTGGTCGTAAGTATTGTTTTATTGAAAAATATTTTCATTTTAATGTATCATATATAAATTTTTATTATTCGTTTTCTCGCTTTTAATGTCAATTAAAATAATCACAGTAAGTGACCAGAAGCCTTAAAACGATTTTTTTTTACTTTAGTGTTGAAAAATAAGAAGATGGATTTCGAAAAAGTTAGTTCAAAGATTATAAATTAATCATATTTTACAGCTTGTTGATCTCTCTTAACCATTTTGCTGATGACGACGATTGGCATTACTCGCAATTGTATCGTTTATTTATTAACGTTTAATTAATTAAAATATTTTTCAAATTTTACTAGCAGAAAATATACGCACGATATCTATAACGACTAACTCTCGAAACAAATGGAATCGCCGGGGATATCGGTAGTAATCACATTCTTAGTACAGCCGGATCTACTCGAGCGCAAAGTAATGCGACTAATTACTGGTTTGCGCTCCTAATTAGCATATAATGGAGCGCAAAGAGATCGTAAACAAGCAATCGTCTAAATATAACGCCAATTTTAAGTAAAGCCGCACTTGAGAGTGCATTTCCTTGAACTTTCCATGGCTAACGGAATGCCAATTAACTAGGCTGATTCATCCGATTATGGATATTTCGCGAGAGAGCGAGGGTGGAATATTAATGTATACAAATATATACGCATAGAATTCTTTAAAAATATCTGTTACTTCGATTAGTAATTTATTCATACGCATGGCATGCTTTAATCTTGTTTTCGGAATTGTGATGTCGAACGATCATAACTCAAATGTATCATCCGAATTTTTAGACAAAAACAAAATGTAATAAATATAAAAATTGTAAAAATAGTATTTATGTTTATTATATTGACGCAAAGTTTAATAATAATGTGATAAAATAATAATTAATGCAATTATCTACAAGTATTATCTTTTTGTAATATATTTATAAAAATTAGTTAATTAATTGATGAAACAAAAACATGAAGAAAAATAAACTGTGTCTTAATTATTATAGATTGCGTTTTTGTAAGAAAATAATTCAATTCCTTACAAAAAAATATAACAAATTAATCATCTATATTAAATAAGTTTCCTTTCTTTGTAAAGCCAAGTTCTTCTACAAGGCATTTGTACTTTCTGATTCATCCTACTGCATTCAAGTGACGATCGTTTGAGCCATGCGCATACATCTCGATCGCTCACGCATCTCTATTAGTGTAATACTGTCACCATTATCGCGTGCGCATACGAATACCGTACATTAAACGCCATTCGTCCGTGCGTTTTCCTCATTCTACTTCAAGCAAGAATATCTCCTGCGTAAGCACGCACATAATTTCCGACTCGCGGATGTTGGTCGCAATATTTATGGTATTATCTCGTCTCATTAATTCACATCAACCTAATAAACTGTGACAAAACCGTTGTCTAAATTTTCTACAATTCTTAACATGTATATTACATTTTGTCTCAAAGTTATTTAATCGTAAGAACAATTTCTTATAAAAAATATTAATTATTTAATTATTAAAGTGTTCTCTTAAATATTATTTTTAATATCTTAAATACTTTCCTGAAGATTGTTTCAAAATATCTTTAAAAATTGTTAGAAAATGCCCTTTGTTTTGCCTCCTCTAATTGTCTAATCTAATCTAAGCTCTATTTATAGCGTCGATTTCCTTTTTATTTTGCTCTCTTTTTCTCTCCCAAAAAGAAAAAGAGAGAGGACCATAAACTAGTAATCGTGACAATTTCATGATTTCGCTACTTTTTTAAAAACATTCTTATTATGAAATATTGCCTACAAAAATCTTAAGAAATCTTTTCGTATTCTCGATTTTTCCCAATTTCTTTCTTTATTTCATAACTTCAAAATCATTCTAATCAATTATCAAAGTAATATGATTGAAAATCGATAATATTTGAATATGATATCGTATTTTTGACGTTTTCAACATTACTCACTGTATTTTCCTGATTCTGGAAAATATTTCTTCTTTCCACGATTTCGCTCGAATAAAAAGTGACGACTTTTTGCGAATCTTCAAAGAATATTCGTTTTGTCAGGTAGTGAATACCAAAGTATTCGCAGAATATTTGGAGCACCGGACTTTCTGCGGTTCGAAAAGTAGGATGCGGATTTCAAACGATGCGATTGTGGATCTCTTGATCCCATCAATATCTAAATTATTCATCAATGAGTTTACCAGCCACGACGCCAAAATTTTGATGGAATTTTAGGTAAACGAAAACGCGTCTGCCTCTATCCCGCCAAAACTCGAGTACCTTACTACCGAGTAGTGCATGTACTCGTGGTGCATTTGTCGCGCAAAGTGTCCGTACTGCGATCTCATGTATAACATGGATTTCATTCCAAGTACTCCTTGTCACGGCTTTTTCTTATACCCGCGAGAGATTCGAGTACTCGGACACTTGATCCACTAACGAGTACAACGAATGATTCGCGGAGATCCGTACACCGAGAGAGATTGCGCGAGACGCAAGATTTCGAATCTCGCTCGCTTTTCCGATTCGTATTAAAATTCTTCCGGGGTTCCGGGTCCTTCGGACGGGCTTACGATTTCGTCCGCTGGTATTCTCGCGGGGTGTCCGCCGCGCGCGGAGTGTCGCGTACTCGCGGAGTGGTGCGCCGACTACAACTGTAGGCGACTCGACCGACTCGACGATGATCGTCGTCGACCGCGCAACCAGCACGACTCAGCCGGCCGCAAGTGGGGGTCCAACGTTTACCGGGGGTACGTGCGTGCCTTGAGATCCCGAGGGGGGCCCCTACCTATCTACTGACGGCGTCGACGGGGGCCCTACCGAGACTCGTCACCCGTGACTCCACCTCCCACCTGACGGCCCCCACAGATAACCTCCGCCGAAGGGTATACCTCCTCGTGAAAGACGAGCCGCGATAAGGTGTATCCGCCCGGTGAGGAATTCCTAAGCGGAGCCGCTTACGGCGCCGTGCTTTTCTCTTCAATCCATTAAATGGTTTTTACGAGACACGAGTATACGAGACAGATTGCTCTAATGACTGACTCATTGACGAAGGGTCGCTGCGTGTATAAAAAAAATGTCTTGCAACTAGAAAAGATGGGATAGCACTCATCGTCTAGTTTCGAGTAAAAGGAACATGGATAAATGTTTACTACGTATTAGAATTTTAAAAAATTTGATAGAAATGTAATTATAAAATAATTTTGATGTGAAAAAATTTACGATAAATGTTAAAGTATGAATAATATTTGAAATAGAATAAATATGGGAAAATAGAAAATAAAAAAAGTAAGTATCCTATTAAATTTATATTAATTGTTGTTAAATTAGATTGAATGTAAGAATAAATCGAATGAGAGAAAAAATCCTATTTTCGAATCTTGACGCTTAATCTTACATCTACATATAAATATTATTAGCACCAAAATAGGATTCTTTTCCTTAATATATTTTTTTATGTCTGTAATATGAAGAAGTTTCATATTTTTTAAAATAGTTAAAGTTCTCAATTTTACTTTAATGAAAAGCTATTCGGAAGTTAGTCTGATTTTTTTTTGTTCTTATTCTTAATATGGCTGAAATATTACTAAAGCGACACTTGATATGTTCAAATGCATCTAAACATTTTATAAACAACCCTGATTTTGAGTCGCAATAATAAATTCCCGGGATTAAACAAAACATTGGGATCTGCGAGGCAATTTTTCTCTACTAGCTTCAAAAGGAAGGGATATTTAGCTTAATAGTCCAAAGCACGCACCCGGAAACGGATAAGTGCGCATAGATCGAATCTTGCCTTCGACCATGCGAAAGGTTGTGAAAAAAAAACTATTGCGCATAACAGGATGCACCGGATACATATCTCTTGATCGAAATGGACAGCGTCGATATCGCATTGCTTAGTGCAACGATAATGTTCATCCTCGCAAGGCACAATGGACAATAATGTGCATCACGGAACATCGCAGTAACGGAACTTTTATTACGATGCCGCGAGTGACGATCAAATAATAAAGCATCTGAGAAGAAAATGCAATACACGAGGCGCTCAAATCGTTCATTTAATCATTTTAGCTTTATGGGCATCAAAATATGCTTGCGGAAAGTATTTTAGATGACCTAGTATTTTCAATGACTTACACAATAACTCTTTATCACGGTAGAAGTAAATCACTCGAAAGAAAAAAACATTAAGTTTTTAAGTAAAATAATCAGAAAAATTATTAATAAATTGCGGCGTTGATAGAAAAGTTATATATATCTCGCAATTTTTCAGTAGAGTATTTCAAACATTCTTTCTAAAAATTGGATCCTTTTAATTAAAACGAATATGCATAACTCGATTTTTTTCCTGCGTCATACTTTCAATTATAATATATTCTTCAAAACTATGTCATGAGTTTTCGAAATTTGAACACTGCAACCTTAATATAGGGTTGTGTAAATTTCATCCCTTATTAAAATTATCCACATAAGTAATATGTCATTTTTCCATAAAAATACATTAGTCTTTAGGGAAGAGTCAATTTCCTTTCATTTTTCTCAACAAGGTAAAATGTCGCTATTAAAAATGCCATAAAAGTCGTAATTTAAACAGTTGTAGGAAATACGATGGTTTTAATCAAGTTATATATTATCTTTTTTTTACTACTATAGGCAATCAAGACGGTGAACGCGCCGAATGTTTGATCGATCGTAACGATAGGCACCCTACGGTTATTTTTAACGTCAAACGTGAGATTTTTATCAGAATCCGCCAGGTGCGGGCAGGTGCGGGTTCTAATAAAAATCGTATTATAGAAAAAAAAAAAGAGAAGTGCGAATCTCTAATCCACGTCGAGGATGCAGATTCCAAGTAGATCGACTTGGACCGTCGCCAAGTTTGCACGGGATTCTTCAGCGTACAAGTTCAAGGCTCGCAGGGCGGTACGGATACCTTCAAGGTCACCGAGTGTGCAAATACCGTGATATTATGGTCGCGCAAGTGCGGCAGCTTTCTCATTGTCGGTCGAGTTCGGTCGAGATCTGACATAAGTGCACCCCGTCAAAGTATCCCCGAGGTATCCGGTCGACGTATATAATCAATCGAGCTAATAGCGCCCGGCCGAGAACCGGCGTATTCTCTCTCATCCTCCTCCGCTGAATTTATCTCGATGAGAAAGAGAGGATTCCTTCGTTCTCCCAGTTCGTGCGGAATTAATCAATGGAAATAACAGAATTAGTCACCGAGCGTGACCGTAAATCACGGCGACTCCCAAATTTTCTGTCATGATAGGTAAAAGCAGGTAAAAAATACCTTTCGAGATGATGGGACGATCTTGAGAAGTTGGACCATCGGGACTGGCTATTCACTGGTTGAAATCTGTCCACTATAATAGTAAGCACACACAAACTTTACTGCCAAGAAAAAGAAAAAATGCTCACAGAACACCTTTAACACGCTATAACTCAAAAACTGTCCACTAGCTATTAAACCTTGTATTTATGATAGCTTTTGTTCATCACATTATAATATACATATACATCATATATGTGAGAATTAATTCAATTCATATCTACACAATTTATAACTAATGTGGAGTTCTTTAATAAAAAAAAAATTAATACACGGAAGGACCGATTTTACTTGCTGAAGTATCTAAAAATTTATCTAGATGCAGACTAAAAAGTAATTTTGTTTGGACCATTAAAGTATGTAATTATGTGAGATGCTCAAATTTATGAGAATGTTAAATTTTTTTGCGGCATTATTTTAATGTTTTACATAATTATTATTATCGTTTGACAAAATTATTTTCAGATTTATACCTAGCTAAATTTCTAAATACTTCAGTAAAACAGTTCTTTCCATGTGTCATTATTAAAAAAAAACTTTTTTTAGTATAACGCTTATATAACACGAGTACTTATCGAATAAAAATTACCTTCGCTGTTAATTCACGTAAAAAAAAGTTTGTTTTATTGTGTATAAAAACATGAAATATATTCTATTAAATTTATTTATTTAAAAATGTAAATATTTAAAGGGGAATATATAACTATAGTTTATTCTCTCTCTCAGCACGCAAACACATTAATAATAATGATAAGTAGAACAATCTGTGCAATTCGAAAACTGGAAAGAAAATAAGTGAAAAAAAAATAAGCATGCCTGTAAATTGTCCAACGGATACGCGACCCGGAACATGAATATTTCTAATTCCACGTAATCGTTCGTCATGTATAAACAAGGAAGACGTAATCATGATATATCGCGTTAATAATAACGTAACTATCTTGTGTCGCTTGTTGTTCGGATTGTTTTATTCCGAACAAAACGGAAGGCCACAAGTTGCCACGTAAGTTGCATCGTGTACAATGACTGTGATAAGCCGAGAGTATCGATCGTTACTGGTAATTATGCAGACCAAACCCTTCGCCAGTGGTACCATCGTGTACCATCATTTTAATCCACTGTTTAATGATTTATCGTCCCGCAAAACATCGACAGGCATTGACAAACCGAATTATTGCGGATTAATCTTTCAAACGATGCAATCCTTAATAAGCAGCTCTTTATAGCACAAATTCGTGAATTTGCATGTAGCTATAATTTGATTGTCATAAATTAAAGACATAAAATAAAATTATTGTTTAAAAGAGACAAATATGTCGTAAGTAACAATTATATGTGTTTATGAAAATAATTGAAAATTTCTAAATAAATTTTTACGTTTCTCTGTTTCGATAAGAGAGTATTTTAATTTTAACAATAAAGATTTGAACACCTGATAATTACGTGCATATTCTGAAAAACATTATTTAACTGTCTTTTAAAAACTGATGTATTCTTTTATTATTGTTGTTGCTCGAGTTAATAATTTTCTGGCCACTTATATTTGAATACCTAATTATTATCTTTTCCACCTTTCAGACAAAATTTTGATAGATTTCATCATATTTTTTGATTCACATAATATAATATAATTTTCAATATGTACAGTAGGAAACAATTAAAATACATTTAAAATTATTTTAATAGTAATTATTATCCGATTTTTTTTATTTCTCGGTTTTTTACAGTTCCATGTGAAAGCAAAATAATTAATATCGTGAGAGCGATCAATTTTAAAATATCGATTGTGCATTCAAAATCCAACTTGAAGAATTAAAAAAAAGAACCTACCCACTTTCGAACACAAAGACTACATTTGTGAAATGATTTAGATTATATCAGAATATATACGGGATAGGTCCAGTCAGACAGTGAAATACTTCCCTAAAAAATTAGCGCCCAACAACCTTTGAAATTATGGTTCTTTTATGCATGTTTACAAAAATATCAGGGAAAGTATCCATCGTTTAACAAAAAAAGCAACAAAAATTTTTTAGAGAATTAAATTTCCTATAAAATCTCGAAATCAGGCCAGGAATCAGACCTACTCTATATAAACAGAACAAATAGAATAATAAAATAGATAAATAGATTAAACATAGATATTATCACGATCGTAAAATTATCACTGCAATGATTATGCTGCCATCATAATTTTGAGGCAGCCTGTCAGTACATACATTTAATTCATTTCCTTCAG